GGGGGCAGGATCTGCTTTTTTAAGAGGAGCTCTCCGACACGGGGTGGCTACCCACGCAGCGCTTCCTCCCTCCCGAAATCAGGCTGGAACTCAGCTAATCCCAAACTCAAACTCGGGTCATGTCCAAGGCCACCTGTTGTTCTCCAGGAGGCCCAGCTCTGGAGAAAGGACATTCCACTCACCAGGCGGCCCCTCAAGACACCTGTCTGCCCTCGAAGGCTACCAGGGGTCTCCTGGGAACAAGACTCAGGCCTCACTCCCCACCTGAAGCCACACTCCTCTCTAGGACATCAGGTGGAGAACAGGTCCAAGAAGGTGACAAGAGACTCCTGGGCAGGGGGTGTCAGGTCCCTCAGAGCTGCTGACGCCGCCATGGTGTGGCTCACTTCGGGCCCAGGCACTCCACAATCCCATTCCCCTTCATGCCATCAAAGAAGAAGAAGTTGTTGTGAGGAGGATCCCTCTGTGACAGGGCCTTCACAATTTCCTGTGCCAAGATTCCTCCAACCACCGCACACACTGGGGCCATCTCGGAGAAGCAGTACCTGACAAAGTCGTCGGGAAGCAGGTCAGGACTCACACCCAGTGAGTCAAGCACATCATTTCGAATGTGAAGCAACAAGTCTGCATCTTCCCCATAGGTATCAGAACTAGGATCTCTTCCTTTATCTGTGCGGAATTTCATGAGCACTTGCAGGAGAAAGTAATCAGAGGTCGTGCGCTTCAGGGCGGCCTTCGCTTTCTCACTGCTCCAGTCCACCTCCAGCGCCTCTTTTACAGGGCAGAAAACCACCTTCTTTTTGACCATTGTAGTCTCAGATGAATCAAGTTTTGCTCTCTTGGTGTCAGGTCCATCTTCCACCCCTTGGCTAACTTTGGCAACTTTGGTTTTCTCCTCTACAAACTCATGCTCTCCAAGATTGGCAAATGTGTAGCCATGGTAGCCAAAAACATCTCCTGTGAAGAATTTGATGCTGTTTTTGTGACAGATCTGGTCAACTTTAACTATGACATCCCTGGAGCAGCATGTCAGGCACACAGCATCAAATTGAGTGAAAAATGACTCAGGCTTCTTTTCTATGTCCTCAGTGTCCACTTTCACGTCCACCATGGGGTTGAGATTCTGAGCTCTCTCTAAAGAGGCTTCAGCTCTATTTCGGCCAATGGATCCAATCCGAATCAGGAACTGAGCTCCAGGGTCATCTGGAGATACCTGTTCATGATCCAGCATGGTCAGTCCCTTCACTCCTGCCAAGATGAGATTCTTGGCAATTTCAGCTCCAAGTCCTTTCATACCGACAAGCAGCACACGGGAGGCCCGAAGCCGTTTCTGAGCCTCCAGTCCCCACAGGCGGATCTGCCGGTCATACTGCGCTGCCTCCTCCTCGCTGATACCGCCACCAGCCTCCTCCTTCTCCACCATGGCGCCGGGTCTTCCTGCGCCCCGCTCCAGTCCCCAACCTAACAGCCTGCCGGCTCGTGCGCCGCCCAACTGTTTGGATATGAACTGTATATGAAGTAGTATTTTAATTTTCCACTTCAGTCTTTTCATTCTTCGTAAGCAATCCTATACTACTGTGTCATACTTCTTAAAAACAAGTTATTCTTTATGACTGGTTTGTTGCACTTAAGCAGTACTATCCACTAGTAATGAGCATCCTCCATTAAGCCACCTGATGCTTTGAAAAGGAAGTTCAACAAATTGTTTTTCAAAACTATTACTTTTCGTATTATTTAATTTTTATTTTTATTTGTGTATGTGTCAGAGGGTCTCACCACGCAGATTGGACTTGTAGTGATCCTATTTTCAGCCTTCCCAGAGCTGGGATTACAGGTATGCGCCATCACACCCGGATCCTTTGCTGGCTCAGTGTGCCTCAGAGGTGGTGCCGGAACAGCATGCAGGACCAGAGGTCGAACCCTGGTTCCTTAGCTTGCCAAAGCAGGCGCTTAGTCCACTGAGCTATCTTGCAGGCCCTATTATTTGCATTTTTATATTTAATTTTCATCTATCTACGTAAAAGCCTATTTGCTGTTATAATCCTGTTTTAATCAGATAGTTCTAGGGACACCCTAGATGATGATTTTTGTCTTTTTTGAGACAGGGTCTTGCTATGCAGTTCAAATTGGCCTTCAACTCACTATGTAGCCCAGGCCAGCCTGGAATTCACAGAGATCCTCCTGCCTCAGCCCCTTGAATGCTAGATTATAGGCATGTACCACCACTCCTGGCCTCTAGATTTAATAGTGGCCCAAATAAATCTGTTTTCAAACTGTTTGCCATAGAACATTGCAGGACAGTAAAAAAAAAATTTGTTTGTGCAAAGTACTAAGCAATCAAATGTGGGTTTTTTTTTCTTCAAATAAAATACACTTTTACTATATAACTTTTATTTTTTTTAGTATTTATTTATTTATTTACTTATTTATTTAGTGTGTGGCCAGCTCAGCCCACCAGGGGGCGGGCGGGCCAGCATGTGGTGCTGGGGGATTGAACCGAGGTCTCTGTCCTTTGCTTGAGCTTAGTTCGTTCTAAGTAGGTGCTTTAGACCACTGAGCCATCTCACCAGCCCCTACTATATAACTTTTAAAACCTTTAGTTTGTTCCAAAAAGCTACAACTCTTGTTGCATAGGTCCTGCTTTACCTTGGTCTTAACCATCCAGTAGAAAAGTATGAAGACGAAATATAGGAAATAAAGCCATGCTGTTAAGTTGAGCTGTGGGGGAGTCAGGTCAATAATTTCTGACATTGCCAGTTAAACAGAAGACCCAATGCTATTATGGGTTACTGGACTCTTTTAGAATATTTTGCTGAGTTTACACACCTATAATATTCAATAACGGAACTTAGAAAAAAATGGGGTATGCCTATGAATGTTCATTTTGTATCTGTGTATTCAAAGTGGTTGGGATAGATATATAGTTGCATTCTCTCTTTTTTTTAACATTTATTTAGTGTGTGTGTGTGTGTGGCCAGCTCAGCCCACCAGGGAGCGAGGCTGGCTGGCATGTGGTGCTGGGGGATCGAACCGTGGTCCCTGTGCTTTGCCAAGCTTGTTCCATGTAGGTGCTTTAGACCACTGAGCCATCTCGCCAGCCCCCAGTTGCATTCTCTTAATGAATAGAATGATTTGTTCTTTTTTTTTTTTAAAGTGTAACATTCAATTTTATTATTTCTTTCTCAAGAGTTTTCTTCAGTCCATTAAGACTCAGCTCCCCTTACATGGGCTTTGGTGGAGGTCGTGGGGCAGCACCAGCAGGTCTAAATCGGGGTGGAGGAGTTCGGTCCTTACGGGCTTCACGAGATCGATTTCTGACCACTTTGCTGTGAATGGCACAACTCACACAATAATGCAGCTTCACATACAGCTTGGGAAGCACATAACCGTCGAAGACACTCGCTTCGGAAATGTCCCTGACGGCGGCGGCCTCCACTATGTTCCGAATGACAAAATTAATAGCCTTATCCTTGGGTACGCACCGGGCGCAGTTCGTGCAGCGAATAGGCTGCACATGACCGCGGCCCTTTTTGGCACGACCGTTGTTCCTTCTTTTTTTCGTCATCTTGGAAAAGAGGACCCGAAAGAGCTAGAATGATTTGTTCTAATGGTGTTTATAAATAGGATCACAAGTCCGCATCTTGTACAGCAATTAACCACTAAGAAGAATATATGCAGTGTATTATTTGTTGAAACTGTACTTCCAATTTGACTTAAAACTGTCTCATTGCTGTTTATCAATAAAACTTTGAAAAAAATAAAAAAGTAAAAAAAATAAAAATAAAAAAAAAATAGAGTGAAAAAAAAAAACCTTTAGTTTGTCATCGAAACTGTGAATTTACGAGAAGGACACAATATGCAGAATTTTCCACATTATTTGACCACAGTTTACTCTCTAGGACTCATTGCTCCAAATAAACAGTTCAGGAAATGTTACTTAATTTTCGTTTGTTTGTTTTTGGAGCAGAGAGAACATTTATTCATGAACTTGTTGGGGGGTGGCAGAGTAGAAGCCTTCAAAAGTGCAGGGCTCACCACTTGTCCAGGGGACCATGATTCGGGATGTATTTCACACTGCAGCCATCAGGGATGAAGCACTTCTCAGCCACCATGTCTTCAAATTCATCCGCACTGATCTTGGTGAAGCCTCACTTTTTGGAGATGTGGATCTTCGTGACGGCCAGCGAACTTAAACCTGGCCCTATGTAGGGCCTTGATCACATGTTCCTTGTTCTGCAGTTTGTTGTGGATAGACATGATGACCTGTCCAATGTGAACCCTTGCCATTCTGCCCTGGGGCTTCCCAAAGGCACCTCGCATGCCAGTCTGGAGCCTGTCAGCCCCAGCACAGGACATCTTGTTGATGTGGATGACGTGGAAAGGGTGGAGCCACACCCAGATACGGAAGCCGTCTTTGCCACAACTTTTTACCATGTACTTGTTGGCACAAATTCGGGTGGCTTCCAGGGCTTCCGAGGAGAGCTGCTCACATTCATCAGACACCATGTGGCCACAGAGTGGGAACTCATCCACTTTTACTTTCTTCCACCCCAAGGAAAAGATGCAGATCTTGGCATCAGGGACCCCTTGGCAGAAGCGGGACTTTAGGTATGGCTTGTTCTTACAATACCGGTAACACCAGGCAGGACGATCCCATGGGGACACCAAGGGTCTTCGAAGTCAGGCCAAAAGAAAAGAGCTACTTTACTTTTGCTTTATACAGTATTTAGTCACTGGTGATTACTTAATTAAAATATGTACTGCCTTTGTATAAATTCTTATTAATTGACCTGCCAAAATATTCATTTATCCATAAAGAATAAACAGTTGTTGTGGAGAAATAGCTTTTTAAAACAACTTACATTGCTGTTTTAGTCTCCCTAAAGCTAATTAAGATAAATCAAGAAAGATTTTTATTCATTGCACTTTTTTTTTGGTGGAACCGGGGATTAAACTCAGGCCCTTGTGCTTGCCAGGGAAGCGCTTATTTCACTGAGCCATCTCCCCGGCCCCTTATTCATTGCACTTTTATTTGAGAAGGCAGATACAGTGGTCAAAAATTCAGAAACAGTCTCATCAAAAATAAAATAGTGATTAAAAGAAATATCTGTTTATAGGGAATATTAACTTATGTGTGATACTTTTAACTACTAGGAATGTGATACTGTACAGCAAAACAAAAATTTGTTTTACTTTGTTTCTTGGTGCTGAAGATTGAACTAAGAGCCTTGTGTATGCTAAGCACAGTCTTCCACTGAGCTACACTCCTAGCTAAAAGGTATAGTCACTAAATTAATGTTTATGAATTATTTACTGTGTGGCAAGAGCAATGGTAGGTCATTAATATATAGCAGTGAACAAAACAGCCATAAATCTTATTCTCAAGGGCTTGTAGCTTATTTTTCCTTCTCAAAATATATTACTTACATGTTTTAAATAATCTAAAATTGCTTGTCTTATTTATTTATCTATTTATTATTTTTGTGTGTATGGTACTGGAGACTACAGGAGTGCTCCACCACTGAGCAACAACCCTAGCCCTTTTTATTTTTTCTTTTGTGAAAGTGTCTCAATAAGCTACCCAGGCTCACCTCAAACCTGAAATCCTCTTTTGTCAGTCTCCCAAGTTGCCTAAGTAGCTTCAAATACAGGCATCCATCATTGCACCTGTCTATAACTGTTTTCAAAATATCTTTGAAACACTAATAGGTTGGCATTAAAAATCCCCCAAAACTAGCCAGAAACAGTGGCACATATATGTAATCCTAGCACTCTGTAAGGCTGAGACAGGAGAATCACAAGCTCAAAGTCAGCTTGGTCAATTTAGGAACAACCTATCTCAAAATAAAATATGAAAAGACCTACAAATGCATTTTAATGCATAGGCCCTGGGTTCAATCCCAGTGCTGAAAAAAATTCCCCCAATTTATAATCATCTAATTTGCTTATGTGGATGGTAGGAACCATAAGCACACAGTTAGCAAGACAACAGAAGACATTTTATTTATATATTTGATACTCATATAATTTTCCAGTCTTATGTTTTACAGGTATTTTATATGAAAATACAATAGGATGCAATTCTTTTCAATAAATGGTTAAAGGGTCGATTGGACAACAACATGAAACAAATTCAGTGATGAACCTTACACCCAATCAAATACCATGCACAAACTCAATTTCAGGCAAACACAGTGGTGCACACCTGTTTTTCCAGCTACTCAGTGGCTGAGGCAAAAAGATCACAACTTTGAGGCCAGCCAGGGAAACTAAGCAAGATTTTGTCTCAAAAGAGAAAAAGGAGCCAGGTATAGTGGGACATGCCTGTTATCCCAGCACTCTGCAACCTTAGACAGGAAGATCACAAGTTCAATCAACCCTAGTCTTGTTAACTTAGTGATTTAGTGAGACCCTGTCTCAAAATGAAAATATAAAAAGGGTTGGGGATGTAGCTCAGTAGTAAAGAGATACTGGGTTTAGTTA